TCAAGAAATATCAGGGACGAGTTTTGAATGGTTTTGTTAAAAAAGTTGTAATTCTTTAATCTACCATTTACAGTCTCTACGATAAATCGCACTTTCGTTATGCATCGAGAGCGGTTAGCTTGTGCAGCTGAAAATTGTTTTTGACCATCTAAAAATGGTGGCATAGCTACATCCAACCCTAATGAATACATCACTCCTAAACAATCTCTGAAGCCACAGTCCACAACAACTACATCCTTCTAAATATAAACAGATCATGAGTTAAATCGAATATTTTGCATTAATCTCTACTTTAAATACTTCTTGGAAGGAGGTCAATATGTTGTCGCTGTTTCTTAATAAAATGTCTTTCATCATTGCGGCATCGTTGTTTGAATAGTCAGAAAAGAAAGGACCAATGCAGGCAACAATGTATCCAGTGGTTGTAACTATCATCATTGGTTTTAACATAGATCTCTTTTTGTATAAATTAAAAGTTTTTCGAGCTCTTTCGATTACAACAATTTTATCTCGTAGTATTTTCCTCATTTCTCGTATTGTGGTATCACGAGATGATTAACGTCTACGCATCTGCTTACGAATGGTATTTCATTTGGTTTTCTGCTATAAGCGATATATATCAAACTTTCCATCCACATTCAGCACAACGTAAAAGGATCGATGCAGTGTTCAAAACAAATAAGCGATTACCAGGCTTATGTTATTTAGATGCACACAACTCACGGGGCTGTCTCGGCTTCGGTGACTTCTTTTTTTATTCGTTTTTTATTCTAAAAGCATATGCAACAAGTGTAACGCTGCTACTTCGCCATAATTTTTACCGTGTTTGTCATACATACACTCGTCTTTCTCTATTTTCCTTATTGTATCCCAGCTGCACCCATACCGACGGCAGTGGCCTCCGTCATTTATTATATGATGATATGAAATTGCAGAGGCCCCCATACCGTCAAAATCGCCTAACTTTTGCCGATTTATCGCGATTTTGACATAAAATTGTGATTAATCGCCATTTTATATCAAAATCGCGATAAATCGGCAAAAGTTAGTCAGTTCTGATCACAAGGGCTACTAATACTAATATAAAGAATCGAAAAATGCATTTATAGTTCACAACCAACTTCTGATGCCCATAACCAGTCTGTGGCTTTTTCTTGAACAGTTAACGTTATAATGCTTTTGTTTTGTTTAAAAAAGGTGCTCGTGATTGTTTGTTTAACTTTATTATTAGTGTTTTGAACGCGTTACTACTAATGTTTGTCCACTGGTACATGACCATTATCACATCTCAGCTTGGCCATGTAATTCTGCTGCCGCGTGCGTCATTCCGTCACAGATTTTTTGCATTTTGGCTTCTCTTACAGATTTTGAATGAGAACATGCCTAGAGATCTGAAGAATTTTAAATTGAAGAAAAAGTGTACTGAACGTTCTGAGACGTTCCAAAAAGTAGCAATTGTATTTTTGTCATAGTTCCTAAACAAAAGAACGTATTCCTAAATGTACGGGAACGTCTCGGAAAGTTCAGTACACTTTTCTCTTCAATTTAAAATTCTCCAGAGCTCGGTACCAGCGTTACGTAGCCAAGCCGATTCATAAACACAGCGTCGTGTATTCCAAATCTCTTTATGGTTTATCAAAAACTGTTGGTTTTTTACGTAAAATTTATTTTTTGGTCCAAAAACATTGTTTCAATCAAAACAAAATGTCACATTCATAATCATCGTGTCAAACTGCATCCCTGGAACATCCTTTCTCCAGAAGCTAAATTTAGTCGATTTTAGTGAGTATAGGCATTTGGCTTTTTGATCTTCATTCGAAAGATCTTCAAACTGGGTGTTTACCTCAATATCTGTCTCTCTTCTACCTGTCTTTTTCTAGAGATCTGAAGACTTTTACAAGTAGACAGAATCGGCCATCCCATAGACATCTCGGTTAACAAAATAATACGGCAGTAAAATATTTTAATACAGATCATAGAGTTTAGAAAAATTAAAAAAACAAAAACGACTTTCTCTTTTACGCACCCTGTACAAACTGTTTTGCAATCAGTGTAGGTATAAGAGCGTCATGTAAAGACACTCAAATTACACTTAAATCAGCTTTGACAGTTTCTACTTTAGATTACAATTCTGCCTATGCCAGCAAGGATTTTGATTTAGACAGAGACAGTAGTGGCGCAAAGTTTCGGTAGAAAGATCCCAAGATTGGAGACGTTCACCGGAAGTTTCTCAAACACCTCCAATACAACCTGATCGCGCCGCCCTCGGTGTGGACCCGCCAAGGAATTTCCAGTTTATAGAAAATCAAAAAGGAATTTCTACTTTCTTGGAAATTATTTATGAAAATTCAACGACGATTTTCTAGATTGTTGGAAAATCGATTTTCTATAAATTGGAAAATCCTCAAGAAATTCCTATAGGTACTCTTTGAAATTCGCCGAGCATTTTCCATAAATAATTTCCAACCTTACAGTGTAATCAGTTTCTGATGTTTTCGTTGGCCAGACGATGTTTTCATCATGCCACAAGCTCTTTCATGGAAGGAAAAGTCAGTGTGCATACGGATTGCAAAATTAGAGGAAGTACACAACAACTTTTGCTGAGAAAACATTTTCTCAGATCACCTAACTTTTCCTTCGCTATGTTTCTTAAGTCTGATTAAACGTATAACTGAAATTTGATCTCAAAGTGAAAGTGAGAAAGGCTAATGTCTTCCTATTCATTTACTCGTGAGTTTTACTACTAAGGTTAAGTCTGCCGAATGCGAAGCATCGAGCATTCATGCTTTCTGAAAATGTATATTCATAGGCATTAGCGCTAGGATCAGCGCAGGCGTCAAAAAATAATCTAGCATCGCCCGATTCATCTCGATTACTAGATTTTTACTCGATTGCAACTATTTGGTAACGACAGGGAAAATCTGGTAATCGGGCGATTGCTAGATTTTTTCTAGTTAACACGATACATTACTAGATATAGCTAGCTAGCCCAATATGTTACTCGATATATCGACGGTCGTATTATTCACCTTTTTGTTTTGCAGCCACTGTACTATATTTCTCGTTCAAATAGATTCAAATTTTCGGGACATTACTAGCCGACATCACAGAATGTGGAACTGGTCGAAAAAATCGGACCTGAACTTTGGTTGTGTGGGAGATTTTCTAGAGATCCACTAAAACACCGTATACATAAACTGAAAAGCTTATTTAACTTTTTCAATCGACTGGTGTTATTAGACATTAGATTTCATAGTGTGATTTGGGAACGGTAAGCTTTCGGATTTTGTCTCGAATGGTACACCATAGTAAACCTTGTCTGAAGCCGTGACTTTTTCATATATCGACGTGCTCCGGTGTCTAGTTTGTAAAACTGAAAACCACAGGTCGCTATTACCTGTGGTTCTCGAGTTATTCGACTCGCAATCACTCGCCTTCTATTTTGAAATAGATAGTAGTAATCTAGATGGCAACTAGTCGTGTATCGCCCATTACAGACGAAATGTATCTACGTTTTTCCCATAGGTGATGTTTGCTTGGGAGTACATTGTTCGAATCAGTCTACCATCCTGTGAGTGCGGTGAAATGGCGGATCGATTTTGTGATTATGAGGAATTACAAAGGATTTATTCTTTTAGATTAATTCTCTCCCTCTCTCAGAAGCTGCTGCATTTATCCTGTAACATTCTTTATTTTTTTGAAATAAATCAGTTTGAAAAAGATCGAAAACACACACACTGGAAAAATTGGAAGAGCAATGGTTTTCATGCTAAATCAAGAAAAGAAGAAGTGCGTGTGTCTTATATACAGCGGCCATTCTTTCTTTTATCGAAAACATTATTATTTAGTATACTCGTCGTGGAAGCTTTCTTGGGCCATTTGTTGATTATACACCTTATAAATCAAAGCAAAAAGGTATGTCACGTTTAGATAAAGATGTATTTACATTAAAGGTAAATAAAATAGTTCTAAAATAGCGTCAGTTATATAACTACGATATCATATAAGATTGTAGCATTGTTTTGCTACATCATCCAGCTTGTTATTGCTCTTAAACACCATTAAAGATGCAAGTAAGAGCTTTAGTAATTTTTCTATCACTGTCAGTAGCGGTAGCAAGTAATTTAATTGTTCGCCGCAATCTGCCTTACATTGATACAGAACAATTAGAAATTGATCTTAATATACGTCATCAAATACTGTCAAAACCATATGAATTTACACCACCAACTGCATATAAAAAAATCGGAGATGCATCTGAATTCGATGTAAACAATGCCACTCGATTTGTTCGTTATGCTGCGGCTAGTTACACTAAAAATTGGAATGAAATATTGAATTGGACATGTGTGGATTGTCGTGCACCAGAAGTTCAAGGATTTTTGTGCACACATTTAATATATGATAAAAGTACTGATGCATTAGTATATTTGG